GGCTGGGGGTGTATGGGAGGAAGAGATACATCCCATAATTCCATTGGGGCTGTTCTGAAACTCAGGATTTTCAGGTCTCACCCTATATATCTCTTCATTTGGCTGTATATCTGTACCCTTTATAATATCTTTTATAGTGAACAGGTAAATGTAAATAAAGTATTTCCCTGAGTTCTGTGATCTACTCTTAAGAAATTACCAAACCCAAGGAGGGTATTGTGGGATCCCAGATTTATAACCCACAGGAAAAAATGTGAAGGCCTATATTTGCAACTGGCATTTGAAGTGGGAGTGCAGTCTTTTGGAATCTGACGCTAACTCCAGGTAGACAGTATCAGAATTGAATTGCAAGAACACAGCTGGAGTTGGAGATTTGGTCAGTATGTGGAAAACAGCACACACATCTTGTGTGAGAATTGTTCTGAGTATAGCAATATTTGAGTTTATATCAGAAATGGAGATAGGTCAGCTTTCTCAACTCTACTCAGGGATTAATGATAATCTAGTGATTGTTACAGAGGTCAGGAAGGCAGAGAAATAGATTAATGAACATGTTCTAAGCATCTTAGAAAGCACTATATATTAACACTATAACAGGTTTTTAAATCTAGTTTCCCCCATGACAAAGGTAGCTTACACAGCAAATTAAATTAAAACGACTCACAAATGGAGAATGTTGAAACCTAAATTCCTTGTAATCCATGTTTCTGGACAACCACTGCTGACAGTTTAATACAATAAGAGTTCTAAAAGAACAAGGGACCCCCAATCTTTGTCCTCTTTGCTGCCATATAGTTACACTTGACAATACACTTACTTGTTAGTTTGTAAAATTGGAAAGACTGTATTTCCCACACCACAACCAACCTAGAGATAAAAATGAGCTATTAGTCATAGAAGCTATTAATAATATTCACAAAACCATTAACTCTCTAAAGCTAAATAATCAATAAATAACTTTGCTAATTGTACAAGGGAAGGTATAGTGACTAGAGCTTAACAGTACCCGTTACATTATTTAATCTTGATGTTCTTAAAGAGGTAGCCATAAAAGACAGGAGCATGGGCTTTCATTAGAAGGGAGCTGGTTCAGAATATGGGCATGGGCTACCTTATTTATTTTTTAACAGTATTAGGAATAGAACTTGGGGTTTCATGAATGTTAGGCAAGTGTTCTACCAGTGAGATATATCCCCTGATACTTTTTTTTTTTTTTTTAATTATTTTTAAGTTGCCCTAGATGGCCTTTAACTTCTGATTCTCCTACCTTAGGCTCCCTAGTAGCTGGGATTACAGCCCTTGTACCATCACATCTTGCTATCTTTACTTTTTAAGTCCTAGCAAATGTCCCATCGATAAAAATATTTTCCTACTGAGTTCCACTGTACTATTACTGGAAAAACAGACTGAATTGAAAACTACAAAAAAGGATACCTTATTAACTTTGTCCTAAATACAGCACTGCCTGTGGTAATAAAAACAGCAAGCATATACTGATACTGATGGCTTACTACATGTCAGACACTATTCTGGTATGTTTACGTACATTATCTCAATCTTCCTAACAATGAGGAGGCCAAGAAGCAACAAATCCCAATACTCTGGGAAGCGCAGGCACTTGTCCAAAATCTCTCCAGAGAGGGGGTAGGGGTGTAGCTCAGTGGTAAAGCACTTGCCTAACTTGTACAGGCCTTGGGTTCAGTCCCTAGCAACATACACACACACACACACACAAAGTCACACCACAGGACTCAATTGCAAGGCCAACCAGCTCCAGAATTAGCTTTCAGTGGACTGTATATTTCCTTTATTGTGAAATTCTATTATAATACCCATCTAAACATCTTTCCAGTTCAAAAAATACAGGCAATTCCAGGCCAATATAAGGGTCAAGTTTAGTCAACTTCATCAGATAAGAGTCATTTTTGTGGTAAGGCTTTCTATTTTATTTTGTGTACACAATGTGACAGCTTCACTAAGTCCACTAAAAGGAACCTAAAGGAAGTTACCTCAAGTATTCGGTAAGTGGCTGAGGATCCAGGAAACTCATCAGCACAAATTTCCAGGTGACTGAGTTTCTGTGTTACAGTCTCCTCCACAGAAAACATCTGTGCTGTATGTTCAAGGGTGCTAGAAGAACACTTGTGTTGTTCTCCCACTGTTAAGCCATGTCCATCTTCACTGCTTCTACATGCAGAGATTTCATTCCTTTTGTTCTCCAACATTAAATCCTTTAAGTGATTTTGATTTTGGCTAGGTGCCAGTTCGGGGAATTCAGTAAAAAGCCAGTGTCTATCCTTGAAAAATCTATTTTCATGAATTTTGTAGAAGTCATTCCAGTATTTATGGGCATTGACTTCATAATCAACTGTAAAGAGTCAAGAAAGAATTTTATGAGTCAGGTCTCAAATATTTTACATTATCTAATGTCAATTATCCTGCTTCACTAAATATCATTTTACACTAAAAGTAACCACATGTAGAGCCATAGTCACAGAGCTGAAGGCACTTGAGGTAATTTAGTTCTGTTATTATTACACCCAAATCCCCCTGATTTGTCATTCCCAGGGAGTTTAATTTCTGTTGGAACCATCACACAGGGAACTTCCTACCTATCATTTTCCTTTCATGTCTCTGGATGGCTACTCAGTATTGGAAAATTCTAAAATTAAGCAAATCCCTAGCATCACACACACACACAAGCAAATATCTGTCCAATCACTTTTAGTAAAAAGATCCTATTGTTTCTTGGGGCCAAAATAAACAACTTTTTAGTATTTGTGGGCAGCTACTTTCCCCTCTAAATATTTTATTTTACAAACTAAATGTCCCAGGATCTTGGGTTGTTCAAGTAAACTTAATGGTTACCTATGTAATCAGAGATCTTTGTTAAATATGTCTCTCTCTCTCTGGTTCTTCAGAGTGTGAAGTCCAGATAGGAATTCAATATTACTAGTAACTAAAAATGAAACAAGGCTCAAAATAGACAACATAAAAATGTCTGTAGGTGAGAAGGGTTTTAAGGAACCAAAGAGACTAAAGGAAGAAATGTGGACTGAAGCTGGGCATGGTGGCTCATGCCTGTAATCCCAGCTACTCAGGAGGCTAAGGAAGAAGGATTGCAAGTTTGAGGCCAGTATAGGTTGCAAGACAAAAAAGAAAAAGTTAAAAACATTTAAAGTGATTAAGGCAGTCTCAGATTTGTTTACTTCTTTGCCAATACAAGGTCCCAACTTGTGTAGGGAGTTTTTTTTTTTTTTTTAAAGTAAGGAATTGGATTTTAGTCCCTTCACTTATATTACTGACAGCTTACCTTTGGGCAAAACACTTAATGTCCTGTAGTCCAAGCTTCTTTCCCGCCCCCTTCTTTTTGAGACAGGATCTTCCTATGTTTCCCAGGTTGGCCTTGAACTCCTGGGCTCAAGTGATCCTCCTAAGCAGTGGGATAACAGGCGCACACTGCTGCACTCAGCTAAACTTTCTGTAACTGTATAAAGATGAAGTGTACTACATGATTTTCAAAATCCCTTTAACTCTACCTTGCTTTACCTAGCCTTTCAAACTATGCTGGGTGAATAATTTGTAATTGGAATATTTTTATTATTGTATAGAACTCTTTTAGTGGGCATTACTCTCAAACTTCTAGTTGGACCATCAATTGTCTCTTAGGACATAGGACCAACTAGTCTCTAGGTTAATTTTGCCTACTCTCCAAGGAGGGACCTGTTTTCCCTTGGCCAGACTTCTGTATTCTGCTTCATGCATCTTTCCTTGAGAAGTTCTAAGTCCTCAAACCCATCCCATAAGGAAAAGACACATAAATACTAGCTGTTACTCCTTCCCAACAATATTTAAAATCTGTTCACTTAAATCTATCTTCAATGGCAACTCTCAAGTACCATGTAAATCATGAAGAAAATACATTCACTAACATAACGTACCATACAGTTTCCAAAGACTAACCACATCAATATAGTACTAGTCAACAAGGTTAAAAACTCAATTGCTAGAATAAGTTGTCCTCCCCCAAGTAATAAAAAAAAAAAAAAAACCCACAGGAAACCCTAAAGTTAAAACATGCTCTATGCCCCCAGCAAGGCTAGGTTAAAAAAAAAAAAAAAAAGCGCCTTTTCCCTTCTTGTTCCTCCCTCCCCCTCCCGTTCTACTCCCGAGTTCTTCATCAGGCAAGTAACCAAGGACCTTGGCAGCTGCGGTTCGTTGGCCTCTCTGCAAGGCACGTTCTCTAGCACGCTGGCTGAGATACCAACCACCGACGCCTGCCCGGGCGCACCTTGTTTCTCTGGGCACACCCGCTGAGAGCTGTTCTCCTGCACTTTCCTCTCTGCCGCCGCCGCTTGCTCTTCCGACCACTCCACATCGTCCCTGGGAAAACCAAACAGGCAGCTTAGGGGCCTCTCATCTCAGCTGCGAGCAGGGTCAGTCGCCGGCCGGGAAGCACGTCTTCCCGGGAGGAGCGCGCCATGGCCAGGGCAGTTGTACTAGTGGCCTGTGGTCAGGGGCTTCTCCAAGCGCTCGGAGCAGCGGGACGGGGGCGAGCCGCAGGCCGGACGAGGGGCAGGGCAGTTACCAGGCATTGTGGTGGAAGACGCGCGCTGGGTCGCTCAAGAACCGGCTGCCGAACTGTTGCCTCTTCCCGCCCAAGGCGGCCGACACACCTTCAGGACACGAGTCAGCCATGGTACCGGAGCCGGAAATGCCTTCTTTCCGTAACGCGAGAACCCCTGTGGGCCACGCCCCTTCCTGGACGCCTGGGACCCGGCCGGGAAAAGAGGGAGGCGGGGCGGCCAACGAGTAGGCGAAGGGAGCTGGCGGAAAGGGTGCGAGCCGAGTCGTTTCTTCCCGACGAGTTGTTGGTGGGCGGGCAGGGTGTGAAGAAAGTGGGAGACATCCCTCTTGAGCCCCAGTTCAGTGCTGGGCTCCTAACAGGTTCCCCAGTTAAGTTGTGTGGAAAAATCTTGAATCACTCTAGTGAGGGTACGTGGCCTCACTGTGGAGCTGATAGCCGGAGAACTGAGGAAGGTAGCAAGCCGCGGAATAACTGGAATGACAAGCGAGCGCCACTTCCGCCATCAGCACCTTTTTTTAAAAAAACAATCTGTAGCCTGGTTTAATACACCCAAGATCTAGGGCTTGGGTTCAGTCCCCTCCAGGGGTGGGCGTGGGGACCGTAATACACACATACCAATAGTCTGTAGTATTAATACATTTTCAGCTTACATTTCTATTTCCAGAACTACTACGAGTTGATTCACAAGAGTCTAGAAATAGGCTGTCAATATAAAATAAGGCCCGGCATGGCGATAGCACGCCTGTAATCCCATTTTCTCTGGAGTCTGAGGTGGGAGGAGGCCAGCCAGGGCAATTGAATGAGATCCTGTTTCTGAAGGACTGGGGATGTAGATCAGCAGGCAAGGCCCTGGGTTCAATCCCGGGTACAGAATTTCCCTATCTATCTATCTGGTTGAGAAGACTTTCAAGAGAAGTGTGATGACTACTACCTAGGAAAGGGTTATTTAATTAGTGCAGTGCTAGACATGGTACATTGGTATTCTATTGCAGATTCTTTGTATAGGTAAAACTAAGGAGAGCAACGAGAGAGTACTTTTCCCATTAAAGAAGCGGAAACAAACCCAAAGCGCTCTCTATCCATGAAGAAAAAGACATGGATTGATTAAAAAAGAGAAGATAAGATGCTCAAGAACATATACTTTGTTTGAAGACAAAGTACTTTTGTTATTTTCATGGACTTCTGAAGCGTTTTGAACAGAAGCTCCATTCCAAAATACAAATACAAGAATTTCTTTCTTTTCTCAAGGCCAGCTGTTTGCAGATAAGGTGGCTGAATTAAATTTATTTTTGACATCATCTTCTTTCATCTAAGGGCTATTTTTCTACCCTCATCAAAAGCTGTTAGAGTTTCCATTCCACAGTTCCACTGCATATCTTTTCTTGTTTTCTTTTTGGTACAAGGGATTGAATCCAGGGGCGTTTACCACTGGGCTACATTCACAGCCACCTCCCACCCCCATTTTTTAAAAAATTTAATTTTGAGATAGGGTCTCCTTAAATTGCTCAGAACCTCACTAAGTCTTGGCTTTGAACTTGTGATCCTCCTGTCTCAGCCTCCTGAGTCACTGGGATTACAAGCACACTCCATCATGCCTGGCTTCCATATTTTCTCCTTTTTTTTTTTTTTTTTTTTTACTTTAAAAGACTATTTTAATTTAGCAGACAGATGTAAGGCCATTTATTTCCAAAAAAAAGTGTCTAAATTTACCATTTCATTTTTTTTTTCTGTTTTACATAAACTCATTAGGAGCCTAAAATCTAGTCCAGCAAGTTGGGGATCTGACCAAGGTCAATCTGATGGTTTAGAATTAGACCACTTGCACGGTTTAAGTTAGCTGTGAGAGGGACACAATCATGTTGGCGGAGTCGTGGCTCTATGGGTAGATGCATTTGGAGATAGATCCACCACATATTTTCTTGCAGAGAGATTCTTTTCTGTATTTGTTGGCAATATTCTATTAGTTCCAAAATTGGTCATTTAAAATATTCAACAGTTTGGGTCTTTTTTGTAAGATGTTTTAAAATATCCTAAACTCAATTTTATAGAATTATCTTTGGTTGGCTTGTACAACAGAATCTTTTGAAGAATCTGAAATAATTGTTCAGAAGAAGTTTGGAATACACGCTGGGAGTTCTGTGTGACTGGATTGAAACACTATTTCAGAGGAGCTAAGGGTCCCTCTGGTGGTGAGTAATGAGAACTCTTCTAGCTCAGCAAATGTTATGGGTTCAAAGCTTGTGAAGAAGGTTAATAACTCTTGTTCCTTATGTGTTAACCCAGGACAAGGATAATTAATTATTTCACGCTTTTCTTTCAGTTCGTGTCAGAATTTTGGGCTGTTTAAGCATGAGCTCTGGGGAAGAATGACTGGGGAAGGATCCTGATGTCCTAATTTGCTCTGTTTAAGGTTTCACAGAGCCAGATCATTCTTCTAGTTGCCCTAGGTAATTGTAAAACCTGGTTTAACAACTTTATCTATTTTTTGTGGTACTGAGAACTAAACTCCTGGGCACTGTACCACTGAGATGCATCCCCAGTCTTTATGTCTTCTTATTTTGAGACAAGGTCTTACTAAGCTGCCTAGGCTTAAGCTCCTGCCTTAGGCTCCCAAGTTGCTGGTATTATAGGCATGCACCACTATGCTCAGCTTCTTTAGTATTTTTTGAGATGTGGTTTTGCTATGTTGCCAAGGCTAGCCTTGAACTTGTTTTGTTTGTTTGTTTGTTGTTGTTGTTGTTTTGGTACCAGGGATTGGACCCAGGAGCACTAACCACTGAACACCATGCCCAGCCCCTTTTTATATTTTATTTAGAGACAGGGTCTCACTGATTTGCTTAGGGCCTTGCTAAGTTGCTGAGGCTGGTTTTGAACCCGTGATCCTCCTGTCTCAGCCTTCTGAGCTTCTGGGATTATTAGCTTTGAACTTGTGGGCTCAAGCAATCCTCCTGCCTCAGCCTCCTGACTAGCTGGGACTACAGTTATGTGCTGCTATGCCTGGCTTGCAAATATATTTAGATTTTTTAATATTTGTGGGAGCACAATTATTTTAATGCTATTTTTATAATTGTTTTGGGAGGTCTTCACTACCTTCACTACTTTTTCCTGGAATTTTATAATTTTACGTTATAATCCACTGTCCTTATCAGTATTAAACATGTCTTTCCCTTTTTCTGGATCATATTTTTCTAGAATAATGATGTAAAAAGCATTAGTTCTACCTGGGAATGGTGGCTCATGCTTGTAATCGCAGTAACTCACAAGGTTAAGGCAGGATGATTGTAAATTTGAGGACAGCTGGGCAATTTAGTTTCAAAATAAAATAAAAAGGGTTGGGGATGTAGCTTAGTGATAGAGCTCTTGACTAGTATGTGTGAAGCCCTGGGTTCAATCCCTAGTAACACACACACACACACACACACACACACAGAAACTAAAATGGCTGGGGGTATAGCTCAGTGTTACAGCAAACTTGGGTTCAATCCCCAGTACCAAAAACAAAACAAAACAAAAACAAAAAACCCCACATTTGTTCTAGACTAATGTTTAGTTTTTTGGTCTTGCATCTTTTTCAGTAAATATGAACCTGGCTACTGTTCAAGAAACCTATAGGGGCTAGAAATGTAGCTCAGTGGTAGAGTGCTTACCTAACATGTGTGAGGCACTGGGTTCAATTCTCAGCACTGCATATAAATAAAGTTTCATCAACAACTTAAAATTTAAAAAAATAAATAAACCCACAAATAGGAATTACCTTGCAAATGATTCATGACTGATCATGATCTAAATAAATTTAAAGCAACTGTAATATTCAGAGGATTAGCTTTAGCTCCGTTTCCATTTATTAACTCCAAACTGAGAATGTATAAAGATAAATAATAATTAATAAAAATAAAAATTTATTAATTATTAATAATTAATAAATTACAGTCTTCCCAATAACTTGTATTATAGTTATATATTTGTTTCTTCATTAGATAATCTCTGCCTTTTATTAAATTGATTGTATGGGGCTGAGGAGGTAGCTCAGTGGTAGAGAACTTGACTAACATGCCTGAGGCCCTGGGTTAGGTCCCCAACACTGGGTGGCATGGTGGGGGAACATTTGTACCATATGATGATTTGGGGTGGATTAGCCACACACCTGCAAATCATTCTCTTGGATAATTCTTACAAATAGAGGATCTCTTCCCTTACATTTTTAGATCAGAATTAGCTATGGAAACAACACTTTTGATATCTTGACTATATATTAAAAGGCTAGTATAAACTGGGTATGGTGACTCACACCTGTAATTTGGATTTGGGAGACTAAGGCAGGAGGATTGAAAGTCTGAGACCACCTCAGCAACTTAGCAAGGCCCTATACAACTTAGTGAAACCATGTTGTAAAAAATAAAAGGGGTTGGGGATATGGCTCAGTGGTGAAGTGCCCTTGAGTTCAATCCCAGCTACCCCCCCTAAAAAAAAAGTTGATTAATGTTGGTACAATCCCAAAATTGTCTATGATCAGTTCTCAAGAACCATAGGGGTTCTAAGAACTATAAGAGTGGAGCTGAGCATGGTGGCACATACCTCCAGTAGCTTAGGAGGCTGAGGCAGAGGGATTGCAAGTTCAAAGGCAGCATCAGCAACTTAGCAAGACACTGTCTCAAAAGCAAAAAACAGATTGGGGATGTGGCTCAATAGTTGAGTGCCCCTTGGTTCAATCCCTGTTACCAAAAGAGGGGGAAATGAGTGGAACTAGGAAGAATAAAAATGTAACAGATATGATGATAAACATTTAAATATTATTTAAAATAGGATATTTTATGTAATGTACATTTAAAAAATATTTTTAGTTATACATGGACACAATACCTTTATTTTATTCATTAATGTGGTGCTGAGGTTCAAACCCAGTGCCTCTCTCATGCTAGGCAAGTGCTCTACTACTGAGCACAACTCCAGCCCTTATGTAATGTACATTTTACCACAATAAAAATGACAGTCTTCCCAATAACTTGTATTATAGTTATATATTTGTTTTTTCATTAGATATGTGTTCTTTAGTAGCAAAGGTAATAGATGAGATCAACTATGGGTAGGAGCAAGCCAAGAGACAGGTGTGTGGCTAAGGACACTTAGGAACATCCAAATTTAATCACCATTCCTCTGGGGGTGGTGGTGGTGACATTATTCCCTGAAATGGAAGGGTTATTGTCATGCACTGCCTCTAACCACTTCCATGTACATTTGAAAACCTAGTCCCTGGCCTGGGGTTGTAGTTTAGTGGTAAAACACTTGCCTAGCATGTGTGAGGCACTGGTTCTATCCTCAGCACCACATAATTATAAGTAAATAAAATAAAGGTACTGTGCCATCTACAACTAAAAGTATATTTAAAAAAAAACAAATGGCAAATGTTTTCTCTGAAACATAAGGCGACTGACTCATAGTTGGGTAGGGAGAGGGAGCAATGGGAGGAATTGATGAACTCTAGATAGGGCAGAGGGGTGGGAGGGGAAAGGAGGGTCAGGGGGTTAGCAATGATGGAGGAATGTGATGGACATCATTATCCAAAGTACATGTATGAAGACACGAATTGGTGTGAACATACTTTATATACAAAGATATTAAAAATGTGCTCTATATGCCTAATAAGAATTGTGATGCATTCTGCTGTCATGTATTTTAAAAATAAAAGCAATTAAAAAAAAACTAGTTCCCTTTTATAATTAGTCACTCAGATGCTTACCTGTTTTTTGAACTTTCCTGCTGAGGCCCTGGCAGTTTTATGCCAGGTGGGGGCAGCAGAGTGTAGCTGGAACTAACTGTGGCATCTACTTATCAAAGATTTAGGAAAGGAAACCATTTTATGACTTACAGATTTTTACTGGTCAGAATCCAAAAGATGGCAAAATTTCCAGCTGCTAAGAATGTACTAGACAAAAGCAAGAAATCATAATTTTGATAACTGAAAAAGTAGTTTTTGATGAGTTGTTTAGGAAATGTAGAAATTTCATTGTTGAAACATTCTAAAACCTTTCCGTTTTCTTTTTCTTCCTGTCTCTCTGTCACATTCACTGACATCCGATGCGGAAGAGAATCCGGAGTTAAGTGGGAAATTTTTATTGGTGTAGGCATCATATAACCGTAAGTCCTTAGGAGAAAGTAATTCTTGGCAAACATTCCAGGACCATGTATAAGTAGAAAAGGTGTCATAAAAGGACTCATTGTTAGTGTCTATTCCAATCAGATCCCCTCGTACCTTCTGCCAGAGATTTAACATTTCTTTCCGATGTGCAAGGGCAACTCCTAAATTATAGTTTTCTGTAGCTCTCTTTACCTGCAATGAGAACATAGTTTACTGTAGTTACTGCCAAATATCTTTGACATGTGGACTACAATCATAGTAGCCCAAGAGTTATGTATTTGAGAATCATTGAGTCTGTACATTAGGTAGTGCCTCTTAAGGACATTTGAGCTAAGAGTTGCTGGACAATCAAAATGTGTTGCTTAGGAATAATGAGATAATAAGAAATTTTATAAAAATATAATGGACTAAAATAAGGAGAAGTATGGGATGGAGATAGGTTGAATTGAGTACTAATTATATCTCCTAAAACAGGAGAACCAGGGAAAAGAGTTAAGCTAAGTCCTTAAGTATTTGGTAATATTGAGGGAGTGAGTGGTGATGGGAAGGTGTTCTAGGGAGGAGACAGAATAAACAAAGGCTGAAATACAGTCAGCATTCTGGAATTGATCAGAGGATTCAGGCACTTTGGTATTGCTGGAGTGTCACATTGAAAGTGGGAGGGAAAGCTGGTCATAGTGACACACGCCTGTGATCCCAGTGACTCCAGAGGCTGAGGCAAGAGGAGTACAAGTTGGAGGCCAGCCTTGGCAACTTAGCAAGACGTTGCCTCAGGTGAAAAATAAAAAGGCTGGGAATGTTGTTCAGTAGTAGAATGCCTCTGGGTTCAATCCCCAATATTGAAAAAAAAAGTGGGAGGAATGGAGTGACAATGGAGAAGCAGCAGACTCTTAAAACTTAATCTTATAAATCAGTGATTCAGTATGGGTGGGGAGAGTCATTTCCTTGTGAAAATCATGTTGTAATGAAATAAATCCTTCAGTGTGTTTAGTAGAAAATTGAAAAAGCCTGCTATGGCTGAGAGGGAAGCCTTCGCATTTTAGCAGGATAATGACCTGGTTGGATCTTCATGTTAGATCATTGGTAGCTGTGTTGAGATTGGTTGGAGGGGAGCAGCTACATGGCTAAGGATAGTGGGCTGGAGGCTGTTATACAGGTGAGACCTGTGGAGGGCCTCAACTAAGGCAGAGGTAATAGGGATGGGATGAAGATAGATTTCAAAAATTCCCCAGAATGAGAGGATGGGTTTGGGGACTGGTAGATGTGTGGAATGAGGAAAAATGCAAAAATTAAGGATAGTTCCTGGCCTTAAAGCTTCAGTGATTGAGTGGATTCTGTATCAATAACTGAGATGCAGAATCCCTAGGTAGAGCCAGTTTGCTGCAGAAGATGAGAAGTGGTTAGAGCATGTTGAATTTTATGTGCTATGAGACAGCATAGAGGTGGAACTTTTTTCAGGTAGATCATTGAGACAAAGTATAGGAAAAAAGTCTAGGCTTGGGACAAATTTAAGTATCATTATATGGGTGATGGCTGAAACAAGGAAGGTAGATTGAAATAGCTCAAAGAATGTCACTCTAGCTATTCCTTTACCTGATACAGAGATGCCAGTGTTCTTCTGTGACTGGATTACAAGGATGCCAAACTATTTGATCTCAAGCTTCTTAGCCCTTGGGGCAGTTGGTGCCCCAGGGATGGAGGCCTCTAGCTATATGCAGCTTCCTTTTACTTTAGTGTGCGTGTGACCACGATGAGACTGTTGGGAGCTCGCTCCTCTGTTTCTGTGGCGTGTACTACAGAACACACATAATTCATTTATCCCAACCCAAGCCGAGGAGAGCTTGATTGTTAGTATCAAGTGCAGAGGGACAGGAGGCTGAGGCAATAGGATCACAAATTCAAGGTCAACCTTGGCAACTTAGTGAGTCTCTGTCTCAAAAAAATAAAAAGAAGTGGGGATGTAGCTCTTTGGTAGAGAGCTTCTGGGTTCAATTCCTAGTATGGCCCAAACACACGCACACACACACACACAAAAAAAAAAAAATGCAGAAAAGAAGTGGCAAAAAGTAATTATATCCTGCTCTTTTTCTGTGGGGTACACAAATTGCTAAAAGTTAGGTCACAAAACTAGACAGGAAGCATAGAGTTGTTAAAAGTGTTTATTCTGGAGCCACTCTCCCCATGTTTATAATCCTTAATCTGTTCCTTACTAATTTAGTGCCTTAACCTTTTTATGCACATGACAAGGAATAATAACAGTACTTGTCTCAAAGGGTTGTTGTGATAATTAAATGAATCAGTACCTGCAGAGCACTTGTAGAATGTTTGTATAGTGCTGTGTCTAGCACTTGCAAAGTACCTTTAAGCTATTGTTAACATTGTTAGTTGCTATAATGATGATGCTTTCATTCATCTCAATTCTGAGTACATCACTCATGGTGACAGTGGATTTATTACCTTAATTTGTTTGCTATTTCTATCATGAAACAAATGAATGTTATAGAACTGATGCTAGGTATACCTACTTAGGTGATTACCAGGATGAATCCTAACATTTAACATTTGAATCTGTTTGATTATAGAGCAAAAAATATTATCATTACAGTGGATACAAATGAGAAACCATCGTGTTTCATTTTAATTTTTTTTTGTACTAGGAATTGAACCCAAGGGTGCTCTACCATTGAGCTACATCCCTTGTCCTTTTTATTTTTTATTTTGAGACAGAGTCTTGCAAAGTTGCCCAGACTGTCCTTGAACCCATGCTCCTCCTGTCTCAGCCTCTCAAGTTGCTGGGATTACATATGTATATCACCATGATCATCTTTCTATCTTGTTTCATTTTAAAGACAGAGAGCAGATAAAAATGCTCTTGGGTTTATGGGAGAGTATTGAAATGGAAAATATTTTTGTTAATGTGGCTGGGAAGGCGGTCAACTATGAACACTCACATGCTGTTTAATAGCAGCTGCATCAGCCACTGTCCATCTGTGCTTTTTCTTGAGTATTTGATTGATGGCAAGGATGTCATCTGAATAGTTTGAAGAAATGTTCACAGGCTTTATGTTTGCTGCCTTTATGTACATTTAAAAAAGAAGATTAGTAATACATTTTAGTTTGAATTATACATACAAAAAGATATAATAAACAAAAATATATTTCAGTATGAGAGAATTTGCATATGATTTATAAGGTTATTGTTAAACTATTTGTCAGTTGTGTTGGAGCCCCTAGAATAGTGCCACATGTAAATTGGATATTTAGTAAAGGTTCTTTAATAATGACAAAACCTATTCATAAGAGAAATACAGATCAGATGGCTTATGGACTAGATATGGAGAATAAAGAGGAGCCAACTCCATCCTGACCCAAATGTCCCAAGCTATTACAAGCACCAAAAATGAAGGTACCCTCCACAGAGTACCACTTGTATTACTTCCAGACTTCTGACAGGCAACCCATGGCTATTTCCCCTGTACTGTGCTATTGAACAATTGCTAGTGGAAATTACATATACTGCTTGCTCTTTTTGAAAATGTCTTATCATGTAGTCCTGTCCAGGCCTTTAGTACTGCTTGACATTCTCTTTCTTCATTCACTCTTACCATAGTGGCTGCTGGAAGCCAGATCTTCAAACTTTCTCAACTGATGATTTTGGCTCTTTTTCTGTTTGTTTATGGTATTGGAGATTAAACCCAGGGCTTTGCATGTGCTAGGCAACTGCTCTACCATTGAGCTACATCCCCAGCCATTTTTATTTTTAATTTGGTGGTAGAGTCTTACTGAATTGCTCAGGCTGTCCTCAAACTTGTGATCCTCAGCCTCCTGAGTAGCCAGAATTAATTGTATGCCAACATGCCTGGCTGATCTTGTCTCTTTAAAGCTATCTAACATGAATTCTCTTAACTCTTCTGCCTACCCTATGATTTCTCCATCCTTTAACCATTTTTTCCTCTTTTCCTTTTATATGAGAAAGTTTTTCCTGATTTCCTAGGGCAAACTCAATCCTGTATTCTCTATTTGTTCCTTCCTGGGTTTTTTTGTTTGTTTGTTTGTTTTTGGTATCTGGGATTGAACCCAGAGGCGCTGAACTACTGAGCCACATCCCCAGCCCTTTTTCTTTCTTATTTTGAGACAGGGTCTTGCTAAGTTGTTTAGGGCATGGCTAAATTGTTGAGGCTGGTCTTGAACTTGAGATCCTTCTGCCTCAGCTGTGGAATTACAGGCATGAACCATTATGCCTGGTCCTTCCTGGGATCTTATCCCTTCACTTTTCCTTTCTCTAAGGGCCAGCTTCGTGGACATGTGATCTGTACAATTATATAGGGGTCACACTTAGGAATGCCCTGCATTTGGTTTAATGTTCTATTATTGCTGTATTGAAATGCCTTTGTGTATGTGTGTGTGTGTGTGTGTGTGTGTGTGTGTGTGTGTTGCTAGGAATTGAAATCAGGACCCCATGCATGCCAGGCAGGTGTTCTACCACAGAGCCAAATCTCCAGTCCTCTATGGTTGCTTTTTTTTTTTTTTTAATATATTTTAGTTGTAGATGGACACAATACTTTTATTTTATTTGTTTATTTTTATGTGGTGCTGAGGATCAAACCAGTACCTCATGCATGCTAGGCAAGCACTCTACCACTGAGCCACAACCCCGGCCCTATGGTTGCTTTTAAAGTGTTTTTTTCCATGAACTTTAATTTCACTGCAGTATTTCAAGTTGGTTTTGCATTTATGTACCTTGCTCCAGAGTGCTTTCTTCAATCTAAGAATTCATTTTTTTTTCATCACTTTAGATAATCATCAGTTTATGTAACTCTCAGCCATTATCTATTCAAATATTGATTCTTCTCCACTCCATTTTTTTTTCCTTTTGGAGCTCTTTTTGTATTCTGTTGGAATTGCTCATGTTACCCTTCATGTTTATTATCTTTTCCTTTAGTTTTTCTTTGTGTTGCAGTTTAGGTAAGTTCCTCAGCTCTGTCTTCCAGTTCACAGTCTTCTTACTATAAATAATCTACTGTTTATTTTTTTTAATTAAATGCTATATTTAAAAAATATTCATTTTTAAATTGTAGTTAAACACAATATCTTTATTTTATTTATCTATTTTTATGTGGTGCTGAGGATCAAATCCAGGGCCTCACATGTGCTAGGTGAGTGCTCTATCACAATCCCAGCCCCTGAATGCTATATTTTTCATCTCTAGTAGTTCTATTTGGTTCTTTTCAAATGAGCCCTCTTCCCCCATTCTGTATACTGCCCCCACCCCCAATTAGGTTTTCTATTCCTTTTGAAATTTCTCTTTAATTATTTAAAGACAGTAGATTTAATTTAATAATAATAATAATATTTTATTATTATTATTATTGGTACTGGGAATTGAAGCCAAGTGTTCTTTACCACTGAGCCACATCCCCAGTCCCTTTTATTTTTATTTTGAGAGAGAGTCTCACTAAATTGTTAGGGCCTTGCTAAGTTGCTGAGGCTGGCCTTTAACTTGAATTCTTTCTGCCTCTGCCTCCCAAGTCTCTGGGATTATAGGTAGGTGCCATCACACCCAGCAAAAAGTAGTATTTACTTTAATAGTGTTTTAGACATTAACTCTGTTATATTGAATTATTGTAATGCTACTCCTATTTATTTTATTGCTGACTTTTTCAGAGTAGATTATTTCCTTGTATGACTGTAATTTTTGCCTATCTTCCAAAGAATTGTGTGTGTGTGTGTGTGTGTGTGTACCATGTGATTTCTAGGATTTGGATATGTTTGTGTCTGGCAGACTTCTCAAGGTAGCTATAGTCTGAAGTCGGTTTTTAAATTTTTAATATATATATATATTATTTTACTTCAGTGCTGGGGATCAAACTCAAGGCCTCATGCTAGGAAAGCACTCTACTGCTGAACTACATCCCCAGACCCTAAAAACCGTTTTTAGGATAATTTTAAAGCTTAAGAGATTTCATCAAATATGGAAATTATAAATTCAGATAGCATATCCATGTATTTCACAATCTCAACTTTGAAATTTATCACAAAATACTTGCTTTTCCATTCAGAGCTTTGGCAAATCACATTTATGCCTATGTAGAATTTTTTACTTCTCTTTTCACTGAGAGGGCAGCCCTTCCAAAATTTGTTTTTTTGTAGAGGTCTCAATTGCCAGCTTATCTCTAAGGGTACATATTTCCTAATCCTGGATGGTTCCCCCTACCCTAGCCCCTAGACATGAGGGCCTGGAGCCATGTGCTCTACCTGCCTCCCCTCCCTGGCCACTCCCAGGGCCACTTTATGAGCTTGTCATTCTGGCTTTAGGTTCTCGCTTGCATTTTGTTTTTATTTTTCATTTTTAAAAACTTATGTATTTATTGCTATTGGTAATTGAACCTAGGAGAGCTTACCACTGAGCTATATCCCCAGTCCTTTTTATTTTTATTTTGAGACAGGGTCTTGCTAAGTTGCTAAGGTTGGCCTTGAATTTGAGATCCTTCTACCTCAGCCTCCCAAGGCACTGGGATTACAGGTGTGCACCACTGTGCCAGCTCTCTCTTGCTTTCTGAAACTTGAGAATTTTCCTTGATTGGAATACTTTATTTATTGTACTGGGAATTGAACCCCAGTGAGCTACATACCCAGTCCTTTTTTGTTTTTTATTAGATACAGAGTCTTGCTAAATTGCCAAGGATGGCCTCTAACCTACAATCCTTCTGCCTCAGCCTCCTGAGTAGCTGAGATTATAGGTGTGCACTGCTGTGACTTGCCAAATACATTTTGTAATGTTTGTCATTTAATTTAATTTAATATCATCCAGTATTTTTATGTTCTCATGGGGAATCTGTGAGTGGGTTGGGCCATGAAGAACAGCTGGATGGGTGGGGGAGTGTTCATATAGCTCCCTTACTTTCATTCTAAAACTTGAAAATCCCATTTCCTGGTTCCAATTAACATTTACAAGTATATAGTAGATTAGATGTGTAGTATATTAGAATAGATCTACCACACAGTACATGAGATCTCATAATATATATATACATTATTTAACATACTATATATTTATACATATATTCTATTATTATAAATGTAAATTTATATCTTATAGCATATTAGATGAAGTATAATATATATGGACATAAATATTAGATAAAGTGGATATAGATGTAATATACATATATATGCAAAATATGTGATCTATTACATGAAGAATGTAATATATTAGCTGGTAATAAATGTTATGGAGAAAATCAGGGAAGGGGATGGGGATATTGGAAGTTGTAGATTTTTTATTTCTTTGATTAATTTTTTTTTCTGTACCAGGGATTGAACCCAGGGTCACTTAACATTGAGCCACATCCACAGCCCTTTTTTATATTTTAGAGACAGGGTCTTGCTGAGTTGATGAGACTGGCTATGAACTCACAGTCCTCCAGCCTCAGCCTCCGAAGCCAATGGGATTACAGGAGTGCACCACTACACCTGGCCTAATTATTTTATTTTGGGGGGTCAAGGTTTCCCTACATTGCTTAGGTTCTCTCACCAACTTCTGAGGCTGGCCTTCAACTTGTGATCCTCCAATCTCAGCCTCCTGAGTTATTAGGATTAGAGGTGTGCACCATTAGAGGTGTGATTTTATTTAAATACATGTTAAATTTATTGAGATGAAAATTCATATAACATAAAATTATCCATCTGAAGTGAACAATTAAAGTGGCACTTGCACATTAGCAATGTGGGGATTATCATTTTAATATGATTGCTAGAGAAGGCATTCTGAAATGACATTTGGGACAAGACCTGAAAGAGGTGAGGGAGAGAGCTATGCAGATGTCTAGGTAACAGCATTCAAGCAGAGGGAAGAACAAAGCTAGAGTGAGATGGAAGCAAGTAAGGCACAGTAGTGAGACATTGCAGGTAGAGTGAAGTGTGCTGGAAGGTGAGCAGTGGGAAGAGAGATCGTTGGATCTGCAGGGAGGGTCTAAGTCGGTGATGTCCAATAGAACTTTTCACAGTGATGTAAATGTCCTATTTTTGTGCCATCTAATATGGTGTCCATTTGCCACATATGGCTACTGAGCATTTGAAATGTGGTTAGTATGACAGAGGAACAGGATTTATTAATTTAAATGTAAATAGCTACTAGTGGTTGAAGTTATTGAAAGGCTTAGATTTAGATTTTGTAGGATCTAAATTGTCATAAAGATTTTGTTTTTAATCTCTGAGGGAGCAGATTTCAAGCTCAATTTAACAGAGCCATTTTGGTTAGTGTATGGAGAACAGATTGAAAAGGACAAAAGTAGAAGCCAGGTGACAATATAGCAAGCTATTGGTGCTTTCTCTATTAAAATTATTAACACATAGGATGCCCTCAAAAAACAAACTATTTGTGTTATAATTTTCTTTCATCCAAAGGGGCTAGGAGTGTAGCTCAGTGGTAGAGTATATATACTTAGCATGTTTGAGGCTCTGGGTTTGATTCTTAGCACCAAATCAGACAAAAAAAAAAAAAGGCCAGGCTTTGTTTTAAGTGCTAGAGATACTTATCAAAAGAAATAAGGTTCTTGTCTACATGAACTTTTTATTCTAGTTGGAGAAACTGATGATAAAAATAATGGGAGAGGGGTGACTCAATGTTAGGACATAATTTTTTATAGTGGAATTTTTTATACCTTTATTTAATTTAGTGCTGAGGATCTAACCCAGTGCCTCACACATGCTAGGCAAGTGCTCTATCATTGAGCTACAACCGCAGCCCCTTGGCACATAAATTTAAAGAGGGATGAGTGTCCTCTTATTTCCATCTTATCAGTGACATGTGCCTGGGTGTGACTTTGTTTGGGGAGATAAAGTAAAAGTCTGACCTCAAGGTAATTTTTGACAGTGATATCCCTCCAGAATCACATAAAAACCCTTTGTTTGAAGGGCCTTCTAGTGATTTCATAATGAGGTGAACCAGGCATGGACCTCTGGAACTCAATATATGCCCCTATAGCCTGGGCTGGTTTCTAGACAAATCTTAATTCTTTTGTTCAAGCAGGGAGAACTGCAACCAATCTGGGGTAAGGCCAGAGCTTCCTGAGAGAATACCTCTGAAAACATGAGCATATTTACCTGTGACCTTAAAACTAATGAGGACAACATTTTCAGGGAAAAATAAGTTAGAGACAATAGAGCTTAAAGCAGGGCCAGAGGTACAGCTGGGATTCTGGGTCAAGCTCAGAATGGTCCCTCTCCTCACACCATTGCTTAATTTGTGTGGACCTGGGTCCTCTCATCCCATGGTGTCTGGCCAACTACAGTCTTGAGATGGTCAAGGGAGTCCAAAATATAGCTTCAAATCCCTGACACAGTGGGGGAGCAGTAGAGAGAGACTTCAGGCCTTCTAGTGTTATTATTCTTGAATTCTATATCCCAACCCCAAATTTAGGATCGTCATTTTTCAGTAAGTCTTAACAATTTGTTGAAATTAAATGAAGTATCTACATCTGGGCTTATATTTAGGAACGTGGTTATGGAATCTGGTTTGAAATATAATGACTAAAAATAAAAAGCATGTTATTCTGTTAAATTGGTACTTAAAAATGTAAAATTTAAATTAGCTAATGTGACATAACCTAAATCTCACCTGTATTTTCCAGTCTCTTTTATGGAAAAAATAGTCCTCAAAGAAATTCAGAGGCTCCTTTCTCCTTAGCATTTCTAATTTTTGTGTGTCTCTGAATGGCTTTCCCATCACCACCCCATCCACATTAGGAAACAATGGAAAGATGGATATTTTTGAATATGGGCTATCTGAATGGAAATTGCATCCTAAAAAGATAAAAACAAAAATGGTATCACTAACAACATAAGTCGTTCCCATAAAAGACAAACGTGGTACCTATTTTGCTTTTTCCCTATTCTTCTCTCATTGGTCATGGCCCTCCTTCACTTTCCTGTTCCTACTCCACACCCATCTGCAGACTTTAGGCTTCACCCAGGAATCTGAAGACTCAGGTGAGGGATACCTGTGCATCCAAATGGTATTTGTGTGACAGAGAGCAGTAACTCAGAAGAGTCTCAGGCCCTGCTCTTGGCCTCTAGGTTTTATTTCTGAGTAGTCATATAAATAAATCCTTTTAAAAAGTGGGGAGGGAACAAATGGCTCTTACTTTTGAGCTCTTCAAGAAATTTAAATAAATCCTTTTCTTTCATTATTGCAACCCGAGCAGCATTAGCAAAGGCAGCGGTGCTTGAGCTTGGAGGTGTGCATATATCTGGCATAAATCTCCTTTTTCCATATTCCCTAGAATGGGGATTCCACAATATTTCTCCACTGGCCTCCTGGAATTTTCTTCGGAAATAGCTTTAAAAAAAGAAAAAGTAGTTCAGAAGTGGATAAAATGAGTTATAGGACAAAAAGAAAAAGTTTAATTATAAGTTTCATATGCTGAGTAAATTAATTTTAAATTGAATTTGCATAATCATTCAATAATATTTGAGTGTCTAGTCCTGTGACATTTGAGAATATTCTGACACTTTTCACAGGTCCTTTTCCTTGTTTTTTTTGGTTCTGGGGATTGAACCTAGAAGTGCTTTCTCACTAAGCTACATCCCTGACCTTTTATTTTAAAATTTTGAGACAGGGTCTCAGTAAGTTGCTGAGGGCCTCATCAAATTGCCTAGACTGACTTTGAACTTGTGATCTTCCTGCCTCAACCTCCCGAGTAGCTGGGATTATAGGTGTGTGCTACTGCGCCCAGCTTCCATAGGCCATTTGACTATTTTATATCTGTAGTTCTTAGTCTTTGGTTTTCTTCCTCTTCTCCAAGACTTCATGGTCTTATGTAGAAAAATAAATACTTAAGGCCATTGACAAACTGGATATGGTGGTACACACTGTAATCCCAGTGCTCTGGATACTGAGGCAGGAAGATCACAAGTTGGAGGCTAGCTTCAGCAATTTAGTGAGATCCTGTCTTGAAATAAAAATAAAAAGGGAGGAATTAGAGAAATGCAAATCAAAACTACTCTAAGATTTCATCTCACTCCAGTCAGAATGGCAGCTATTAAGAATAAAAACAATAATATGTGTTGGCGAGGATATGGGGACACTCTTACATTGCTGGTGGGACTGCAAATTGGTGCAACCAATATGGAAAGCAATATGGAGATTCCTTGGAAAACTTGGAATGAAACCATCATTTGACCCAGCTATCCCATTCTTGGTTTTTACCCCAAAGGACTTAAAAACAGCATACTATAGGGCTGGGATTGTGGCTCAGCAGTAGAGCACTTGCCTAGCACATGCAAGGCCCTGGGTTCGATCCTCAGAACCACATAAAATAAAGGTATTGTGTCCAACTAAAACTAAAAAATAATTTTAAAGAAACACAATGTACTACAGGGACACAGCCACATCAATGTTTATAGCAGCACAATTCACAGTAGCTAAATTGTGGATCCAACCTAGATGCCCTTCAGTAGATGAATGGATAAAGAAAACATGCTATATATACACAATGGAATATTACTCAGCATTAAAAGAGAATAAAATCATGGCATTTGCAGGTAAATGGATGGAGTTGGAGAATATAATGCTAGGTAAAGTAAGCCAATCCCCCAAAAACAAATGCAGAATGTCTTCTCTAATATAAGGATGCTGATTCATAATGGGATGGGGGAGGAGCATGGGAGGAATAGACTTTAGATAGGGCAAAGGGGAAGGAGAGGAAAGGAGTGGGCATGGTGGTAGGAAAGACAGTGGAATGAGACGGACATCATTACCATAAGAACATGAGTAGTGTGACTCTACTTTGTGTACAACTAGAGACATGAAAAATTGTGCTCTATTTGTGTAACATGAATTGACTTGCATTCTGCTGTCATACATCACTAATTAGAATAAATAAAATAAAATTTTAAAAAAGTGCTAAGGATGTAGATTAATGATAGAGTACTCCTGAGTTCAATTCCCTAGTACTGAGAGAGAATATTGTTTAATTTTCATATATTTGTACAATTTCTAAAGTTTCTTTTTGTTGATTTTTATTTTTATTTCCTGCAGAGAATATATGCTATGATACAATATTTTTGAATTTTTGAGACTTATTTTGTGGCCTAACACATGTTATATGCTGGAGAATGTTCTACATGCTGATGAGAAGAATGTTTTCTGTAGCTGTTGGATGAAAGGTTTTGAAAATATCTGTTAGGATCATTTGGTCCACAGCATAGTTTAAGTCTGATGTTTCTTTGTTGATCTTTTTGTCTGGATGATCTGTTCATTGATGAAATGATATGTTGAAGTCCCTATTATTGAAATAGAATCTCTCTTTTCTTTTATATCTAAATCTAATCAAGTTTGTTTCATATAATTGGGTGCTTCCAGCTTGGGTGCATATATATTTACATTTATTGATTCCTTTATCAGTATAGAATGACCTTATTTATTTATTTTTATATAATGACTTCTTTCTTTTTTTTTTTTAAAGTATAGATACTCTTACTAACTTTTGGTTTCCATTTGCATAGTATATCTCTTTCCATTCTTTCATTTTCACTGTATGTGGGTCTATACTGGCTAAGTCAATTTCTTTTAGGCAGTGTTATCCTTGGGTCTAGTTTTTTTTTTTTTTTTTTTTTTTAATCCATTCAGACAGTTTATGTGTTTTAATTTGGTAATTTAATACCCAGTTTTTGTCTTGGAAAGTTTTTATTTCTCTGTAATTTCTGAAGGATTGCTTTGTTGTGTATAGTATTATTTACTTTCAGCACTTTGAATAAATCATTCCATTCTTTCCTGGCCTGTAAGATATTTACAGAGAAGTCTGTGTTTAATCTAATGGGGATTCCCTTATATGTGACTTGATGTTTTTCTCTTGTTGTCTTTAGAATTCTCTGTCTTGTACTTTGACAATCTGACTCTAACATGTCTTGGAATCTTTTTTGGTTGAATCTATTAGTGTTGGTAAAGATGGCGCCCAGAGTGCTTCTCTTCTGGGAGCTCAGGTCCATGACGCACTGAATGGCGCGTGAACCCTCACCTCCAATCTCTGTGAATGGCACGAACTTTGAATGAAGCACCTCCAATCCCTGAAGTGGCGCAAAGTCTCAGCCAATGAAGAAGTAACAGCCCACTCGCCTTGCTCCTCCTCATCCTGTGTTAAGCCCATAAGTATCAACACCCTGTTCGTGCTCGCTCTCTTATTCTCCCGCTCTCTTTCTTACTTTACTTCTCTTACTCTCCCCCTCTCTTTTTCTCTCTCCTCCCTCTCTCTCTCTCTCTCAAAACCTCCTTCTCTTCTGTGACTGGCCGCTATGGTCCTGCTAATAAAATCTCAGACAGGTAAACGGCTGTTTTGGCTTGTTGAGTTTACCGAGCTTTTCCACCGTTCCTTACAATTAGAGATCCTTTGAGCTTCCTGGACCTGGATGTCCATATCTTAAGATTTGGAAAGTTTTCACCAATTATTTTTTTAAAAAATTTCTTTTCTATGCCTTTTCCCTTTTCTTCTCCTGGAACAGTCATAATGCCCGAGTTTTCTTGCTTGATAGTATCTCTGAAGTCTCTAAGGCTTGCTTCATACTTTTCAATTTTTCTTCTTCTTTCTTTTTTAAAAATCTGAATCATTTCAAAAGACCTGTCTTCTCAGAAATTCTTCTGCTTGACCAATTCTGCTGTTAAGTCACTTAACTATTTTTTATACCATTTATTGAGTTCTTTATCATTAAGAGTTGTGATTGGCTTTTTATTTTTCTTTTGACACTTGAGATTGAACCCAGGGGTGCTTTACCAATGAGCCATATCCCCAGCTCTTTTTATTTTTAATTTTGAGCAGGGTCTCACTAAGCTGCTTAGGGCCTTGCCAGGTTGCTTAGGTTGACCTAGAACTCACAAACCACCTACCTGCCTCAGCCTCCAGAGTTTTTAGGATTCCAGGTGTGTGTGAGGATGGCCTTAAGCCTGAGCCTAAGCAACTCCATTTTAAAACTCCAGTTTGAAATCTGCAGTCTCCCCAGGCACACCCACAGAGCCCTCCAGTATGACCTCAAACAAGTTACTTCCCCTCACCCTGATAAATAGAGTGAAGCCCCTGGTAGGCTGTCCTGGCCTGATAAGAGGGAAAGGCAAGAAGATCAGGGTGGAGACCACCAGACCAGATGTCATGGAGAAATCCCATGGTAGCTGATAAGATTGAAAGAGGGTCAAAAGCCTCAAAATTTAGTATAAATAATAGAGCTGATAAAAGGGATTCAGCCAGCCAAAACAAGGATGCACTTGAGCTAGAGAGCCTGATGAGGACTTTTCATCCCATTACTTATCCTTGGTTCCTGATCCTTTGCATGATCCTCACTGTTCTCAAACTCTACTGCCTGGTCTGGACCTTGGTGAGAGCTGCAACTTCTCCCTAGGATCCTCTCCTCAACTAGTCGTCCACTCCATGCCAGGAAAAGCCTGCCTTGGTTCCAGACCCTATCACCACGGTCTAAGAGTGTGCATCTGCTGGACATAAAGCCTAAGGCTTGAGACTTTTGAACTTGGCATGGAGAGGGAATGTCTGTCACCTGTCATGATTAAGTGTTTTTGAAGTGCTTAGAATTAATCTAGAATTGTTTGCTGTGAATGGATTATATCTATTGCAGTGCCTAGTATAAAGGATTGTCGTTTTCTTGATTAAGAATCTGTAGAGTGAAACTGTATTGAGTAATTTGAGTAAAATTGGGAGTTCATAACCAACTTGAATCTATTGTATCAAATATGATATGTCAATAGCTTTATAATGTTTTGAACAACCAATAAAAAAAATAAATTAAAAAAAAAAAAGCATTGAAAGGGGCAGAAGCGCATGGACATTCTTTATTTCTCCCCTCGACTGCATCTGATGCAATTTTGCCCCCTCGTGACAGTGTGTGCCACCACAACCAACTTTTCATTATGTTTTTTTTTTTTTTTTAAATAGTACTGAGGATTGAACCCAGGAGTGTTCTACCACTTGAGTAGCATGCATAACTCTATTTATTTATTTTCCTAGTCCTTTAAAAATTTTTACTTTAAAACAGGGTTTCACTAAGTTGCCTAGGTGTGGGGATGGCCTTAGGCCTAGGCCTAAGCAATACCATTTTAAAAACTCCAGTTTGAAACCTGCAGTCTCACCAGGCACGCCTAATGGAGCCCTCCAGTATGGCTCTCAAGCACAAACAAGTCACTTCTCCCCCACCCTGATAAATTCAGAGTGAAGCCTCTGCCTGGCTGTCCTCACCAATAAGAGGGAAAGGCAAAAAGATCAGGGTGGGGACCACCAGACCATGTTTTAACCCCAGGGTAAATGATGTCACTGAGACCCAGTGGCATCTGATAATGAT